ACCAGTAGGGGGCGCGGTCTGAACGGAGAGAATGTTCGTGGAAAGGTTAAATTTGCTGCATTTAGGGACAGTATGAGTCTGTTTGTAGTATCCAACCACTCTAAAGTAGGGAGAGCGAGTGGAAGTCGAATAGTTGGTAACCAATTAAGGAAACGTCACTGGATATTCTAAAGTGCGTTTTCGGAGGGAAATTTTAACTTAAGCGGGATTTTAGTATTGGCTAATTTGAAGCATCGTTTCCCAGGTGCAAATTTGAAGATTGCATATACAGCAGAATTTAATGGAACCATAAAAGTTCGCGAGCGCTCATCAGCTGCGTCCTCTCGCATGTTGTATTCTTTCATTCGTTACTCACTTTATGCATGCAAGAGGACGCAGCTGATGAGCGCTCGCTAATTTTATGGTTCCATTAAATTCTGCTGTATATGCAATCTATTGGCTAATTTGCAGCATAATCCTACAATGTTTTGTTCACCTTGGGATGTTGGCTTTGGAATTAACCTAAGACGACTGCAATCATCAAACTAAAATGCCTCCCTTACTGGGTTGGAACTTTTTATTGATTTTTGGTGCCACCATAAGCCCAACCATCTTCTTTGTATGAAGAACCTAGGACTTGCATATACGCTTCGATATGTGAGAATTTCGGGCTTAATGTGCTTCGTGCAGCTCGCGGCTGGAAAACATTCGCCATCCGGGACGCAGTAACATAGGCGCAACTACGCTTCTTACACAGATGCGTTCGCGGCGGACTGGCGCTGAAGAACCCACGTTTGAGAACTCTAGTGAGTACTGAGTGAGGCAGAAACATTATGCAGCGCTTCCGCAAGCAAATGAAACGGTTACTGATCAACGACTGTCACTTGCGCCTACGCAATTACCGGACCGTCATTGAACAAAAAGATCAGAAATCTCGAACTCATTTGGCAAAACTGTTGTTGATTCCCTTGAGCGAACAATATGCATGCTGGCAAAAGCGAGCCAGGAACTTCCATGCAGGAACTTAGATCAGAAGTTTGGAAGAGTAAAACTCGTTGCACAATCTATCGTCCAGACAATTCAGAGAACAAGCACTAACAGTTCTCAGTATTGAAAGCAACGGACGGATGCTAACTCAACCAAGTGTGTCGCTGCTCTTGAGTCCATGCTGGTGAGAATCAACGCAACCGATGAGGCGAAGTCCATCGTGTACCAGAAAGACAAGTCACAACAAAAACATGCCATCTGCGGAATTAGCAGCACTACTAGTTGACAAAGGGAGAGCAACCATCGTGATGGACTACATCGATTTCAACAGGACGCCGCAACCTCTAATCAACTACCAATAATCCTACAAATCCATGCCTCCCTCACAGGCTAAATTGACCAGCAGTCGGGTATCGTTTATCAAATAACATGTCAGAACTGTTCTCGTCATTAAACAGGGTAGACCAGGTTACGACTTAAACCGCGAATCATGGAGCACAAACAGGCAGTGCGGAGAGGCCATCTACTGTTGCTACCCACACCCTGAAAGAAGGTCACGAATTCAACTTTGCGAGTGTGCGGATACTGGCACGAGCTAGTAATAAGATGGACGAGAAGCGCTGGAGGCCCGGGCACCTGAAGCCAACTCAGTGAGCAGACACGTTGTTATACCCTGCTGCTATTGCGCCCCTCGTTCGCGCGACTAAGAGGCGCGGCCCCGTTCCCAGTCAAGAACGAACGCTGTAACGTCACTGTAAGATAGCTTGCACTCATCCTTTTCGCAAATACGACTTCCTTCT